AGATTTCACAAATATAAACCCTAACCCTAACCCCACATTCATGAACCCTAACCCTAATTTATTCACATTTTATTCACAAATATAAACCCTAACCCTAACCCCACATTCATGAACCCTAACCCTAATTTATTCACATTTTATTCACAAATATAAACCCTAACCCTAACCTCACATTCATGAACCCTAACCCTAATTTATTCACATTTTATTCACAAATATAAACCCTAACCCTAACCTCACATTCATGAACCCTAACCCTAATTTATTCACATTTTATTCACAAATATAAACCCTAACCCTAACCTCACATTCATGAACCCTAACCCTAATTTATTCACATTTTATTCACAAATATAAACCCTAACCCTAACCTCACATTCATGAACCCTAACCCTAATTTATTCACATTTTATTCACAAATATAAACCCTAACCCTAACCTCATATTCATGAACCCTAACCCTAATTTATTCACATTTTATTCACAAATATAAACCCTAACCCTAACCTCATATTCATGAACCCTAACCCTAATTTATTCACATTTTATTCACAAATATAAACCCTAACCCTAACCTCATATTCATGAACCCTAACCCTAATTTATTCACATTTTATTCACAAATATAAACCCTAACCCTAACCCCACATTCATGAACCCTAACCCTAATTTATTCACATTTTATTCACAAATATAAACCCTAACCCTAACCTCACATTCATGAACCCTAACCCTAATTTATTCACATTTTATTCACAAATATAAACCCTAACCCTAACCTCATATTCATGAACCCTAACCCTAATTTATTCACATTTTATTCACAAATATAAACCCTAACCCTAACCTCATATTCATGAACCCTAACCCTAATTTATTCACATTTTATTCACAAATATAAACCCTAACCCTAACCTCATATTCATGAACCCTAACCCTAATTTATTCACATTTTATTCACAAATATAAACCCTAACCCTAACCTCATATTCATGAACCCTAACCCTAATTTATTCACATTTTATTCACAAATATAAACCCTAACCCTAACCTCATATTCATGAACCCTAACCCTAATTTATTATTTTTGATTTCACAACATTTTATTCACAAATATAAACCCTAACCCAAACCCCACATTCATGAACCCTAACCTTAATTTATTCACAAACATAAACCCTAACCCAACATTCATGAACCCTAACCCTAATTTATTCACATTTTATTCACAAATATAAACCCTAACCCTAACCCCACATTCATGAACCCTAACCCTAATTTATTCACATTTTCACAAATACAAATATATTCACAAATAAGTAAAGTAGATGATAGAAGCCATACCAACGAGAGAGAGACGGTACTGAAGCAGAGGGAGCTCGACAGAAAGAGAGAGCAGGGAGCACAGTGACAGAGAGAGGAGTAAGAGCGAGAGAGAGACAGCAGAGGGAGAGGGAGACAGCAGAGAGGAGTAAGCGTGAATGCAAAGCACGGGGCTGGGGGGAGATTATATACAAGTTTTAAAATCGTGGTTGTGAACCACGAGTTCACTTAATGGCAATTTGGGCAAAAATCGTGGTTATAAAAAGCGAGTTCGAATAAAATCGTGGTTACAAATAGTGAGTTCAGAACAATTTTTTTTTTCAACAAAAGCGGGGTTGCGAACAGCGAATTCAGAACATAATTTTTTTCGATGAACTCGTGGTTTGTAACAGCGAGTTCAAAGTTAACTCGTGGTTTGTAACAGCGAGTTCAAAGGAAAGAAAAGTTAATTAAAATCGCGTTTTATAACCACGATTTATTAATCGAAAGCGCTTTTTGTAACTACGAATTTAAGATTTCCCAACTTTTACCTGGGACAGGCGGAAAAATGTTGAAATCGCGATTATGAACCGCGAGTTAGCTTATTTTGGGAATTCTTTGAAAACTAGGCTTAGTTTGGGAATTGATTTACTATTTTAGCTTATTTAGGGAAATGGCCCTAAAAATTGATGGAATCAAATTGAATCAAATCAAACCGATTGCTTGAGATCGATTGAAACTATAGTTTTCAGCAAATTTTTCACAAGGTACAATTTGTTTCAGGTTGAGAAATAAAAATTACACTGATATTGACCCAACTGATTGAAAATAATAGTGAGATTGGTTAAGATAATTTAATGCATCTTTAACACTTGCCTTAAGGACACTTGTTAACAAAATCTAAATAGATTAATTCTCTTCTATAGTCAGTTTGTTCTCTTTCTCTAGCCATTGTCCAGCACTGACTCTAATCACCATGATTCAATTTTCAAAGCATTTTTCATTACAGCCACTCAGCAATAACACATTACACGCCCACCCACACACACACATGCCAGTGCATTATTATCAAGCAAAACTGGGGTAAAACAAAACCTCTATCTCAAATTCCTCAATCCCTTATTCAAAACACTCACAATTGTCAAATTATGACTCGAGATTTTCATACCTTGAAATTCTCACCTAATTTAATGATTGTACATGTTTTGAAACAAAAAGACAGACATCAACACCAATTCTAGCTTTCCCTTTATAGTAGTATAGATAGATAGATAGATAGATATTATCTAAATTGAAATGGAATGTTTTGTTATCTATTGAATCACAATAAAATTCCCAAAAGCTTTCACTGCAATGCATTCATAATCAAAACACAACATATAAGATTGGCCTTGATTGGTCTCAAGCCTATGGCTTTAATCCTTTCCTATTGGAGGTCCACTCCACTCATAACCATGCAAGTATATATATATAGCCTTATGCATGGTTCATGACTTATTCTAACAACATATCAATGCACACAATAACAGAATACAATGTAACCATTTATTGTGATAATCCAAAGACAATAATATGTCATCCAGCAGCATGAATGAAGAACATTTCTACTTTCTGCTTAAACATATAGAGCCCAGTAATATACAAAGAAACAAAGGCCGATAAGAAAGGGCATCCATTATTTCATGTCAACGAAAAAGTTATGCGACAATAACGCATAAATATTACTAGTGATGATTGCAAATCTTACAACTTTGTGTGTAATGGCTTGGGATCAAGACTCAACAGTTAGATCTATGGAAGGTACACATACTGATTTCAGTATATCACAAGAAGACTGATTGATTTCGAATGAGATCTCCAACAGGAACATAACAAGTAACCAAACCATCTAAAATGTTTGGTTCTTCAAGAGTAATCCAGTCCATCCAGCCCATGAATTGAATCAGCTTTGACAAAGAGCCTTAGTGCTTTCTTGATGACGCATTCTAAAAATTTCATAGATTCTTACTACTCCACAAATGGAATCCCAGAAGGAACCTGAGAGGCATATTCATCATATTCTGACCCAAAAAATCGCCTCAAGAAATACTCCTCATATGGTATCCGTTTTGCAAAGAAGTTCCAAACAATAATGGCAAATGCAATTGTTGATATTGGGTTGCAGAGCATTATCTGAGTGCCTATTGACCAAATGAAAAACCCACAATATCCCGGATGACGAACAAATCTATAGACACCGTGAGTAACCAATTTGTGATGCTCCTCATCGTGGTACGTCTTAATGAGATGAGTGAAGGCCTGTCCAGCTGTTAAAATTGCCGTCTTCCGTATGATTTCCCCAATAACAACCATTACGAGTCCAAAGTTGCTAATCCACCAGTACTGTTCTTTCAACCCAGAGAAAAAGTAAACTTCAAGAAAGTACTCTAGCAGTGAACAAATCATTGCCAGAAGATAGTTTTCGCTAATCAAAAGAGACCTACAACTTACGTTTGATCTACCGTGGATGGCAATTGCCAGAATGTACTCAGAAATGTGGAAAAAGATTATTGCCAAGAACATTTTCAACAGCTGTGTGCAAATTGTGTAGTTGAAGAATTCTGTCATTGTTGCCAAATAAATAAAGCAAATCAATCGTTCACTATGATGTAGTCGGTCAAACAAGATTGAGATCTGAACAATTGAAATACGAAATAGTAGGTGGGTCCTACAGTATCTCTAAGATGCTTTACGAATTACCTGAAAAGGAAAGTTGATCGTATCAGGATTAAGAAAAGTTGCATGAATCAAAGGCAATTTTGCCAAAGCTTTTAAATCATTCTGGCAAGGTATTAACAGAATGGGGAATACTTAAAAAGCATATAAATTTTAGTTTATGCTCAAGCAAAAAACATGAACAAGTGTTGTTCAAAAAGAATTTTCTATGTCTTCGTTTACAAGATAAATTATACATGCATATTCGTAAATTTCATATTCATTACTGCAACGTTCAATTTTTTTTTTTTTTAAAGATAAACCGGACTAAGAATGCATTGCATGAAGCTTAAATGTTCAAATACTAGCAAAACAAGAAATTGTGGACCTTGACAGTTGGATGATACCCAAGACTGCAGATTTCACTATATGGGATACAACAGATTGAAGGAAATGTTATTCACAGAATAAATCTCAGGAATGTTCTTTCTTGCCCTACCTACTGAACATAAATTTTGTCAGATGGCTATGAGATTAGCCATGTCTTACAAACTATTGGCAAATGGGAGAAACAACATTTCCATAAATTTATGTAGCAAACTGGGAATATTACAATTGCAGTAGATAAGAGCAAAAACAAGGAAACAAACTGCATACGCAAGAATTGGTTAGTGCAAACATAGCACATGCCGAGGACAAGAGAATTCTTGGTGAAACAGCATAATCGCACGCAGTGATAAAAATTATATGAAGGAGTAACATGAATTTGACCTACCAAAGCCACTATAAGAAGAGTAATATGGTAAATGGCAACAAGAAGTCATATGCACTTCTAATCAACGAGGCATTAGTTATAAGGATCAAGGGAATATGAAAAGATGTTATTCAAAGCATTATGATAACATCACAACTTTCAAAATACTAAAAGGTGACCCTTTGTCGACCAAAATGGCAAAATAGTTTAGCATATCCTCAAACCCTATTGCCATAAAAATACCCACAGATCTACTACATCTCTAACTCTCTCTACAAAAACTCTTTTCTTTTGCAAAGATACCTCCTATGACAGAGCCCCTCCTCTCTCTCTATCTACACAATCTCTCCTCCTCTTGTCTCTCCTTCCCCATTTCAACCATCTCCCCATCGATAATCACCCCCCTCAGCGACTACCTCCACTCTCTGCCAAAACTCTCTCTCCCTCTTCTCGTGTCTCCTATCTCAACCCCCACCATGGCACCACCTATGACATACACCCCATTTGACAAGGACCCCTATCCACCTCAACCAGCCTCTATCCATTCCAACAAGCCCTCGGTATGACATCAGACACCAACTTCAAAACTATTTCATCCAAAAACAAACCCCAAAATGAAAAGGAATTGACAAGAGATCTACAAAAAAATAGAGAGGTCCCGACCTCACAGAATGAGCGAAGAAAATGAAAAAGACACCAGTGAAACAAAAAAGAACACATTATATCAAGGAAAGAGAAAAGCAGCAAGCAAAAAAAGAAGACACAAAAACCTGAAAGAGATCTAGAGGAACTAAACCCTAAATCTAAGGGAAACGAAAAAAACTAGAAAAGAAAGAAAACTCAGTAGAAAAAGAGGGAATTGATGATCTAAGCCCTCGAGGATCCAATCTCTCACTAGAGTTAAGACAGTTTGTGGGGTGGCATCCGAGCCTTTTTCCTTAGACAATCCAGTTAAGGCCATCGCATCACACATGGTCATCCCTTAAACCATTGAGCGCTAGAGTCACATGGGTTAGAGAAAGAATATGAAGACAATGCCGATATAGACGTCCTCCAATTTTAATTTGTCTTTGACTGGAATTATTTCTCTTGTCAACTCTCAGAATGTCTGTGTGCGAGACACAATTTTTGTCAGTTTGGATACAATTATTAATGAAGAATGGTGAAGAGCAAAACTTACCAACACCATTGTAAGGATAAATTGGCTATTTCTAAATAGGGAAGTGTACCAGAGCAAACCACAGGTGTAAAGTGGATGTTTGGTAGTGGTAGTGGTAGTGGTAGTGGTAGGGTGGTGGCATTGATGGTTGTTGTGCAGTGGTAACCATTGTGGTGTGGTAGTAGTGTGTCGATGGAGGTTGTGTGGTGATTTGCACCCCCACACCTAATCACCTCTCGAAACCCCCTTTCAAACACACCACCAAACATCAATCATTCTAGATTTGCCTCTATAGATACAGACTACAAAGAGCGCCTCTCTTTGTCTTAATCTTTCAATCACATTGGTTCATCGTCGGCTTACCATTGGCCACCTTCTGCCTCCAATGAACAAACCAAACACCTCTCTTGACCTTAGTAGCAAGAACCTATGAAGCATGGGCACTCCGAAAATGTTGTCGTACTCATATCAATAGGGTTGTATGCGTACCGAGTACTCGAAATACGTACAATGTACTTTTTATACATTTTTTGGCAGTTGGATACTCCATAGGTACTTTGTGGGTACATTGGAAGTACACCAAGCTATGAGACATTGGTGGGGATACGTTTAATTTATTAAAGAGTTCTTATTTACTTGAAATTGCAAATCTTTGATGTGCCAGAGATGAAAAATGTATTATTCAATGATGAAGTTGATGGAAGTGAAAACTAAAGCTTTAACTTTTTAAATTTTGCTTAGTTTGCTTTTGGAATGAAATTTTATTTTGTAATTTTTCCTATTTAATGGTATTAAAATAGCTTATAGACTTTACTTTGGTATTGGTATTGTTGAACTATGATTTCTCTTTGGGTTTTAAATTTGTCTTTTTAGTTTTGGTATTGAACTTTGCTTTGTAGATTGAATCTCAAACTATAAATTATAAAAAATAAAAAATTTATTAACGTACCCTATCCGTACCAGTATCATATTTTTTTTAGGTATTGTATCGTACCCGTACCAGTATCCGTAGCCGCACCCCTACCCGTGTTTCATAGGCAGGAACCTTATACTCGAGTGGTGTTTCTTAAGAAAAGTGATTTTGTGCTCCCAAGTAAGAAACTCGCTTCCGTCAAGAAAGAAACTCAAAACCTCTCAAACATTTAAATCTCATACAAACAAAAGAAAAACAATTCAAACTTATTCTAGTATAACATCACAACTTTCAAAATACTAAAAGGTGACCCTTTGTCGACCAAAATGGCAAAATAGTTTAGCATATCCTCAAACCCTATTGCCATAAAAATACCCACAGATCTACTACATCTCTAACTCTCTCTACAAAAACTCTTTTCTTTTGCAAAGATACCCCCTATGACAGAGCCCCTCCTCTCTCTCTATCTACACAATCTCTCCTCCTCTTGTCTCTCCTTCCCCATTTCAACCATCTCCCCATCGATAATCACCCCCCTCAGCGACTACCTCCACTCTCTGCCAAAACTCTCTCTCCCTCTTCTCGTCTCTCCTGTCACAACCCCCACCACGGCACCACCTATGACATACACCCCATTCGACAAGGACCCCTATCCACCTCAACCAGCCTCTATCCATTCCAACAAGCCGTCAGTATGGCATCAGACACCAACTTCAAAAACTATTGCATCCAAAAACAAACCCCAAAATGAAAAGGAATTGACAAGAGATCTACAAAAAAATAGAGAGGTCCCGACCTCATAGAAAGAACGAACGAAGAAAATGAAAAAGACACCAGTGAAACAAAAAAGAACACATTATATCAAGGAAAGAGAAAAGCAGCAAGCAAAAAAAGAAGACACAAAAACCTGAAAGAGATCTAGAGGAACTAAACCCTAAATCTAAGGGAAACGAAAAAAACTAGAAAAGAAAGAAAACTCAGTAGAAAAAGAGGGAATTGATGATCTAAGCCCTCGAGGATCCAATCTCTCACTAGAGTTAAGACAGTTTGTGGGGTGGCATCCGAGCCTTTTTCCTTAGACAATCCAGTTAAGGCCATCGCATGACACATGGTCATCCCTTAAACCATTGAGCGCTAGAGTCACATGGGTTAGAGAAAGAATATGAAGACAATGCGGATGTTATAGTTTTGCATTGGAAATTTGTCTTTGACTGGAATTATTTCTCTTGTCAACTCTCAGAATGTCTGTGTGCGAGACACAATTTTTGTCAGTTTGGATACAATTATTAATGAAGAATGGTGAAGAGCAAAACTTACCAACACCATTGTAAGGATATATTGGCTATTTCTAAATAGGGAAGTGAAGTGTACCAGAGCAGACCACAGCGGTAAAGTGGACCTTTGGTAGTGGTAGGGTGGTAGCATTGATGGTTGTTGTGCGGTGGTAACCATTGTGGTGGTGGTAGTAGTGTGTCAATGGAGGCTGTTTGATGATTTGCACCCCCACACTTAATCACCTCTTGAAACCCCCTATCAAAAGCACCGCCAAACATTAATCATTCTAGATCTACCTCTACAGATACAGACTACAAAGAGCGCCTCTCTTTCTCTTAATCTTTCAATCACATTGGTTCTTCGTCGACTTACCATTGGCCACCTTCTGCCTCCAATGAACAAACCAAACACCTCTCTTGACCTTAGTAACAGGAACCTGTGAAGCATGGATACTCTGAGAATGTTGCGGTACTCATACCGGGTACTTACCGGGGGCTGGTACTCGTACCGATAGGGATATTTGTGTACCGGGTACTCAAAATACATACAAGGTACTTTTTATACAATTTTTGGCGGTTGGGTACTCCATGGGTACTTCATAGGTACATTGGGAGTATACCAAGCTATGGGACATTGGTGGGGATACGTCTAATTTATTAGAGAGTTCTTATTTACTTAAAATTGCAAAGTTGATTGGAATTAGTTTATGACATTGGTCATGAACCAATGGCTTTTTATACTTAATCACATTAATGAGATGATGACACGATGGTTTGAGTAGGCCTTCTCGGGCTCGCTTTCTTATGACATCCTGCTCTCATGTGAATGTGTAACTTTGGCACAAGTAAGTAGGAAAGCCGCAGAAGGTCATTTGTTTTGGCGCATTTAGTCCATATGATTATTTGTGACTAGATATGTGTGAGGGTATGATAGCTAAGCCTCAATCTCGACACATTTATAGATTACGATACGCATCTGAGTCAAGACTATTTGATCTCCCATAAGTCAAAAGTTTTGAGATGATTTTTGTAACGCCCTCAAAATAATAACATTAAACCCATCAATATAAACATACATTTATATACAAAAGATCTACATTTCCTCAATTCATCAGAGTACCTCATTACAAGAGTATTACATGTTAACAACAAAAGTAAATGCCCTACAGGTTTACAGCTTTCCAAGTTAACACTTGGTTACAAAAGAGAGTATTGACTCAGTTACACATTAAGCCCTTGGCATTGAATTTACATGTAATACATCAAAAGGAGATAAGAGGACAAAAGTCTGTCCGCCTCTAGCCTCCCAAGCTATGTCCTTGGAGGTGGTAAGTTGCCTGTACCTGAAATGATGTCCCCATATAGGGTGAGCCACAGCCCAGCAGAGATATACTAAACCAACTATAAACAATGCCTAAAAGATTAGCAACTGAAAGATGGTCGATAATTACACCTCTACTTACATCTTATTTCAATTCCAAGACAACCAAGTCTATGTTACAATTCACTTTTCATTTCTTATTCAACTATGAGTTTGAAAACAAGGCTCAGTATTCTGGCCAAAACATTTGATGATGTATCAATAATACATGAACTACTTCCATACTTCACAAACGATGATGATATACATTTTAGCGCTATATCAAATCAAACAAACTTTTCAATAGATAAGCATGTGAGCTACATCACTACTACAACAGATAAGCATATGAGCCATATCAACATTTCAATAGATAAGCATATGAACTATATCAATACCACAACAGATAAGCATATGAGCTATATCAACATTCCAACAACCGGTTTAGAGGTACATCCCCCATCTTCCCCTAAACAGTGGAGTACATCCCCCATCTCCTCCTCTACACATAATGCATATAAACACATTAGTCATATACGCAATCACTCAATACATACAATTAATGTATTCTACCAACCGTACCAACCGTCTACACATAATGCAATATAAACACATTGGTCATATACGCAACCACTCAATACATACAATTAATGTATTCTACCAACCGTACCAACCGTCTACACATAATGCAATATAAACACATTGGTCATATACGCAACCACTCAATACATACAATTAATGTATTCTACCAACCGTACCAACCGTCTACACATAATGCAATATAAACACATTGGTCATATACGCAACCACTCAATACATACAATTAATGTATTCTACCAACCGTACCAACCGTCTACACATAATGCAATATAAACACATTGGTCATATACGCAACCACTCAATACATACAATTAATGTATTCTACCAACCGTACCAACCGTCTACACATAATGCAATATAAACACATTGGTCATATACGCAACCACTCAATACATACAATTAATGTATTCTACCAACCGTACCAACCGTCTACACATAATGCAATATAAACACATTGGTCATATACGCAACCACTCAATACATACAATTAATGTATTCTACCAACCGTACCAACCGTCTACACATAATGCAATATAAACACATTGGTCATATACGCAACCACTCAATACATACAATTAATGTATTCTACCAACCGTACCAACCGTCTACACATAATGCAATATAAACACATTGGTCATATACGCAACCACTCAATACATACAATTAATGTATTCT